CTGTGATTATCAAAACTGTAATTGCAGAAGATGTATAACTAAAAGAGGGGAATAGTTAACCTTGTATTTCAGGAACAGATAATCCCAGGACCACCAAGAAAGAAGAACATGAATGGACCATGAGAATCCTACTTAGGAAAGTGGTGACAACAGAGACAGTGGCAGAGGCGAAGGCATGGAGAGAGAGAGCAGTTGCAGGCTCTAGGCCCATGGACTGAGTAAGGCTGTGTGCCTACAGGCAGGAGGATGGCTTGCAGAATATGCCCTTTGGACATTCAGATGAATATATCTTTTTTTGCTTTGCATGTGTGCATCAAATATCTTGCTTTCTTTGCTCATTTTGTGAAATATAAGATGTAAATAGGGAACCACAAAGAGGAAGTAGGATAACTGTTGTTGCAAGGAGGGGATTGTAATCACTGAGATGAAACAAGAGTTTAGGAGTTGTTGCATATAAAGCTAATGATCTTGTCTGTAAGCCTTCACTCAGTTCACAACAAAAAGCTAAAAATTATAATAAAATAAATAAATCTGTATTCATTATTACTCAGTCACATGCATTTTTTCTCACAGATTAAGTGGCTAGGATATTGCTACAGTAAAGTGAACTAAGAGTGGAAATTACAGTAACTCCTAAAACATCTGTAACCTTTCTCCTTAATTTCATCAAATGAGCTTTAATGGAAATGCAGAAATGTGAAAGAAGGCAGTAGTCAAAGAATACATATTTTATACCAATACAACTTGTTTCTTAGACAATAGCTGGTGGATATGAATTGCTGACCTTGTGGTTAGCACTGATGATCCTACAGTGCCACCAGTGAACAAGAAGCAGAGAAAAAAGGATAAATTCTACTTCTCCATGATTCCTGGTGTGGTGCTGTGGGTTAATGCGTCAGACCACTTGAACTGCAAGGTTGGTGGTTCAAGCTCACCAGGCCCTCCTTGGAAACCCTGTACAGGGTCACTATGGGTCAGAACCGATTCGACTGCGCTTAACAACAGCTACATGACTCCATGGTACTTAACAACAACAAATCTCTGATGGTGCTGTAGGATCAATACTGAGGACTGCTAACCACAAGGTTGACAGTTCAAACCCACCAGCTGCTCCTCAGGAGAAAGATGAGGCTTTCTGCTCCTCTAAATATTTACAGCCTTAGCAACTCTATACAAGATCACTATGAGTTGGAATCGATTTGATGGCAGTGGGTTTGGGGTTTTGGTATCCTACCGCCTCAGAAACCCTCTACAGGGTCGGTATGGGTTGGAACCATCTCAGAGGCACTTAACAACAACAACCACCTCCTGAGGAGCCCTGGTGGGTGATGCAGTGGTTAAAGTACTCAGCTGCTAACCAAAAACTCAGCAGTTGGAACCCAACAGCTACTTGGTGGGAGAAAAATGTGCAGTCTGAGTCTGAAAAGATTTACAGCCTTGGGAACCCTTTGGGTCAGTTCTACTCTGTCCTGGAGCGGTGCTGGGAGTCAAAATCAACTCAACAGCAGTGGGCCCTACCTCCCAAAGGACTCCAGTAGTGCAATGGCTAAGCATTTGCTGCTGACCAACGGATTGGCAGTTTAAACTGAAGGAGAAACCTTCAGTTATCTGCTCCCATAAAGGTGTACAACCTGGAAAACACTACTGGACAGTTCTACTCCTTTAAGGTCACTATGAATCAGAATTGACTTAACAGGAAATGACAACAACCTTACTTCCTAGTTTGTGTTAATTCTTCTAAACCTTTCTCATTATGCTAAAATCACTGCTAATGGCTACTAACAGGATAAACTGAGAGCTCAACTCCCAGGGTAGAGAAATGACTTTTCAGCAGGGTAGAGGCAATGGTTTCTAGAAGCCACCCAAATGCCCTATATTAATTTATCCAAGTTCAATCTGCTTGTTAATGCATCAAAGCCAGTCACACAAGGTATTCTGTCTTCCCTGAGTCCTGCAGGTGGGTGCTACACAATTTCAGCTATCATGTGGCGCTGTGGGTTAATGCTCCAGACTGCAAAGCCATCTGACCTGCTGTACTTATCTCCCAATCAGATTATGGCATCTTTCATCACTCTCTGAGTACTGAGCGAGCATACTACAAACCACTATCACTGTAAAAATTCAGTAAGTTCTTGCTCTGCTAGGCTTTTGGGCGCTGTAGGATAAGCACTCGACAGCAAGGTCAGTTTGAACTGCAACATCTGCAGTCCAAATTGACCAGCAGTTCACTGGAAACCCATACAGGGTCACCATGGGTTGGAACCAACTAGACAGCACTTAACAATAACATAGACATCCACACTGCTAGTGGATGAGAATTTCCCTCATATCGTATTCACTCTTTGGCAACTGGAAAGACAGCTCTTCCATGAGTACTAAGTTCTGTTTGTCGACAGTAACACAGGAAAATAACTAACAGTTCTATAGCAATCCAGGCTCTTTTCATTTGGCCAAACAGAAACAAACCAGAAGTGGATTGTTGCTCCCTTCATTCTAAGGCAAGACAAGCTCTCTCCCATTCTCATTGTGTTTTGTCGTTGTTGAGTGCCATCAAGTCAATTCCAACTCAGTGATCTTGTATAGTTTCCAAGGAGCAGCTGGTGGATCTGAACAGCCGACCTTGTGGTTAGCAGTCCAGTGCTTATCCTACAGCACTACCCCAAGACTCACCATGGCGTGACTCTATTTTTAAGCAAGAATTCTTTAGTTCTGGTATCACTCTAGATTTAAAGTAGTTAATATAAGTGTAGCCCACAATAATGGTCACAAAACGTACTACTAATACTTGCTGAATTAAAACTTCCTATTGTGGCGCTGTGGGTTAATGCACCAGACTGCTAAGCCGTCTGAACTACAAGGTCAGCGGTTCAAGCTCTCCAGCTGCTCCTCAGAAACCATATACAGGGTCGTTATGGGTCGGAACTGACTCGACGACACTTCACAACATAACAACAAATTTTACTTCTAAGGAGCTCTGGTAGCGTAGTGGTTACGAATCGGGCTGTGAACCACAAGGTCAGCAGTTTGAAACTACCAGCTGTTCGCGGAGAAAAGATGAGACTTTCTGCTCCTGTAAAGATTTACAGCCTCAGAAACCCTGTACATGGTCGCTATGAGTCAGAACAGACTCCATGGCACATCACCACCACCATTATATTTCTGGAGTCCTGGTGTGGTGCTTTGGGCTAATACGTCAGACTGCGAACTGCAAGGCCCTTGGTTCAAGCTCACCAAGCTGCTCCTTGGAAACTCTACACAGGGTCACTATGGGTCGGAATCAACAAGCTGGCACTTAACAACAACATTATATTTCTACTCCCGGAGTTGAAGGAAGTCATAAAATAACTGTAAAGTCAAGTGGTCATATATATACTGCATATTATAAACAACTAATTACTTTCTGTCATTCACCCAAACCAGTGAAAAGGACTTCTTTGGTATGAGGTAAGCTCTCATCATTAAAGGTATTTAAGATGAGGTTAAGTAGTCAGATGTTAGGGAATGCTGAAAGACATACACTAATCTGACAAGGGGTTGGGCTAGATGACAACTCCCCAGATTTTAGGAAGTTGAATTTGTCAGAAAGCACAGGACAGCATTTAATAGATTCCAGGCCACTACTACTTGTGGCTCCAGCACCCCTTAATGTTATTTGCATTGTTGTTGTTGTTATGTGTCCTGGAGTCGGTTCTGACTCATAGCGACCCTGCACAGGGTTTCCAAGGCTGTAAACCTTTTACGGGAGCAGAAAACCTCAGCTTTCTCCAGCGGAACAGCTGGTAGTGTCGAACTGCTGACCTTGTGGCTCCAGCCTGATTCATAACCACTAAGCTACCAGAGCTCCTTATGGGCTGTTAAATTATCCCATTATTATCAAAGACAGGGATCAGGAAGAGTCAGAGCTCATATAACATAACTATATAATTCATTTGAAACACAAGAGCTCATAAAGGATTAATGAGAAGAGAAAATACTGTATGCATTATCATGTATGATAACTGTATGATGTTATTTTTCAGAGGGGTACAGGGAAGTTTCCCCTCTATGGATCCTGTATGAGAGCCCTGCATATTTTTCTCCAATATACTTTCTGAACTACCAGGTGGCTTGAAGGTCCTCCAGATTTCTTCCTTAACAGTAGTTCCTGTTATTTTTTGTTGTAAGCTAGAGTTTGAGGAATTTATCAAGCAAAACCCTGTTGCTCTTTTGTTCAGGCTAAAGGAGACTGGACTACGAAATAATCAACTCCTAATACAAGTTCGCAGCGATTTTTGGAGAACGTCTAATTTCAATAGTGATTGCATAAAGTATAGCAGCAGAGCAGCAATCGGTATATCTGAAATTAGGGCAAAAAGCATGCTCAGTGTAAGTTAAAAAACTGGTGGACACAGTATCTGTACTTTTTCTCCGAAAGTTCAGAAAGAACGTAGTCTTTTACTCTCAGATCTCTGTCACTAAGTCACGTATTCAAAAATCTTACTATATGGTCTTGGTTTCTGAGCTTATTTTCCAAGAAGCAAGAAGTTACTTGAGCCTGGGGTTTTAGACCCTTACTCAAATATTATAGATTGTGTTATTTACAAGACCCGTCTAGAGTTCCTGAATTTGTTTCTCAGGCTTAGCAGTTCAAGATGCCTCTTCATAGGAAGTGATGCGAGAAAAGAAAAACGAATGGAATTCGGGGTTTTTCATGAAAAATAGGTGTAGGGAGAAAAGCGGGAGGGAGGGGGGGGTGTTCCGTGCTGTATGGGTGACAGACACTCCCTCCTATGAGTGAAAAGACAGCCCTACAAGAACCAGAGCCCCAATCAGGGGAGCAGCAACTGGAAGAACAGGTCTTTCAGCCCTCGGGCCCCTGGAGCTCCAGCGCTGGAGGCCACCAAGGGAATGCCCCCGCAAGCTCGCGGGTGCCACATTTCTAGACCTCGGCGACCACCTCCCTCAGTTCCAAGGCCAGCCGGAGGAGACCGGTCGCGTTTCCATCCCCAGCCCGAACTCACAGCCAGTCTCCTTCTTGATCTCCTCGAGCTCTTCGTCCCGCAATAACGTGGAGGCCCGAGACCCCATCCCCGTTCCGGGAGCTCCTCGGCGAGTAGTGTCGCCTGAAGCGAAGGCTAAAGAGGGAGGGATAGAGGAAAGGGAGAAGAGGCTAGGGGTCAAGAAGGGAGAGGGCAGTGTCTCTACTGCGGACGAGCGAGAAAATTCAGTGGTAGTGAGCCGAAGAGGGTGGACCCAAGGACCAGCCAATCAGGAACGAGGCTACGCCCTGCGTAGGCGCCTACGTCAGTGTTTCCAGACCCAGTCAGCGAATAAATCAATTTAGCGCTCTCCAGGGCCCGGCTGAAAATAGACCCCGCCCCTGGAACTGCGACTGCCACCGGTCTTAAAGGGGCAATGCCAGTTTGGCGCTAACGTCCTCAATTAAAAGGGCAACTCCATCGACCCGCTGTAGACAGCAATGCCTAACCCATTTCTCACAGGACTCCTACCCTATAGGTTTATGTAGAAACAAAATAAAATAGGTAGCTAGAAAAAAAGACCCTGAAAGGAAATCCTAGGGTGTGTCCCTTGGGAACTGCATGCTGGGAACTGCACTTTTTTCTTGGGCGGCCCTCTTTCCTCCCAATCACTGGGGGCGCTCAAGAACAGCCTCGGGACCGCGCGCCGATTGGTTTTTGGAGGAACGGTCGCAGTTGCCCGACGTGAAAGCGTGGGGTGGGGATAGGGGTGGTAGTTGGGATGGGGGTGGTGTTGAGTAAAGAATCGGCTTTGCGGTTTGGGTGCGGAGCACTGTGTGCTTTTTCCTTCGGTTTGATTGCGGGACTATTATTTGATAACCGCCCCCGGGTGGCTCGGAAGTCTCCCTTAACTGCAGGCCCTCTTTTTTCAGTTCCAAACGAAAGTTCGGCTGAAATTAGGGGTAGATTTCTCAAACTTGCTTCGAAAAGAAACCCTAATGGCGGAAGAGAGTGGATTCCTAGCGGATGGTGCGCCATTTATTTGAAGTTTCTTACTTTGTCTTAAAAACAAGGAATTTTGCATTTTAGTCTATGGCGTATTCTTGTTTGTTTTAATTGAAAATGTTCAAAGCCACCAGTTTAACCCTCTCTGGTGAACCAGTTCTTTTCTGTGGCTTCAACTGCCTGCAACCTCCTCCATCACCCCTCTAGTATTACTTTGGACAGAACTGGTCAGAATGGGAAAACCAAATTCTGACCCATGTCATGTAGTACCAAATACTGGAGAACTCAGTATTTTACTTTACTAGTTTTAACTTTTCCTATTACTTTGAAGGCTTAGCCTGTGTTCCTGAGGGACCTTGAAGACAGGAAGCCTGTCTTCCTGATTGATCTGGTCTTGCCTGATACCTGCCTTCATATGCAGACGACATTTGAATATACCTCAACTGGAGCTTGATTTTTTCATTTATAAACATGGTGTGATAGGGAAGTCTAGATGTCAGTGACACGAATATCCCTTTTGTGAGTTTGCCTTGAAATCCACCTCTTATTTTAAAATTTCCCCTTTTGCCTTTTAGACTAAGATAAACAGGGAAACAATTTTTTCAAGACACTCAGGTGAATTGTTATATGTTCTCTCAATGCACTTTGGAGTCCTGGTGTGCTGTAGGATAAGCATTGAACTACTAACTGCAAGGTAGGTAGTTCAAATCCACCACCACTCCTTGGAAACCCTGTATAGTGTCACTTTGAATCACAATGGACTCTATGGCATGTAACAACAACATATGCACAAGCAATAACAAATATCCGTAGCACTTAGTCTTGCACTAGACCACAAACATCCTCTATTGGGGCCCTGGTTATGGTTCAGGTTGCATTATCTTCAAATTGTGTCTTTGGACAGGTGTCCTGACTGTGATCTCAGCCTCAGCTTCTTCATCTGTAGGTTAGATAATGGTTGTCATAAGGACCAAATAAAATAATATTTGTGAAGGCATTTGATAGATCATTATAAAAAATAAAGGTTATCTGTCAAATGCTCTGTAACTTTCCACCATCTTCCTAGTTAAATTAGTCCCTAGTATTTCTTCAGTGCTTTATAAGTAGAGCAAATTGCAAAATTCACTTGTTGAAAATTTTCCTAGTGTGGCAAAGGTAAACAGTTTTTAAATTTAAGCCACCACAGAGAACTAGACATAGAAGAGTTGAGTTGTAAACAACAGGACATCCAAATAGCAGCCTTATTTTTAAAGATTCTTTTTGGAAAATGTTTTTTATTATAGTATTAGATTAAATAGTATAAATTTATGTATTATGAATTATAGGAGGTATGTGTCTGCATTGCCATAGTTCTTTATAATGGGTATATATCAGTTTTACCATGACAATCAAATATATGGCTTGTTGTAGTTTACTCTGTCAGGGTGCACATGATGATGCCAGAGCAGCCCAGTCTCAGCTGTGCCAAGGTGGAGTGGAATGGCTCTTGGTAATGACATCCTGGCAGCCATGTAATGGATACATGATGGTAGTTCTCAGTCCCTTAGGCTTTGGCTGGTAACAACGTTATACACTGGAAATATTATTCCAGAAGAGGCTACATCCAGAAGAGGTTAAGCCCATATGTTTCTGGGTAAACAATTATTGCATCATGTGTTGGCAAATATTTTGCCATTGTAAATGGTTTTCATTTGATTTTTTGCTTAAAAAACACATAATACATATATTGTTGTTAAGTTCTGTTGAGTCGTTTCCAACCCATAGCAACCCTGTATGGATACGGTTTCCGAGGAACGCCTGGTGAGTTTGAATTGCCCACCTTGCAGTTCAAACTGACTTTGCAATCCAGCGCACTAACCCACAGCACCACACCAGGACTCCACAAAACATACATATGTCATTTCAAAAATTAAGCTTTGAATATTCAGCCTTTTCCATTTAGCTAAGAAAGGGAAGGTGAAATTACCCCTACCTTGTAGACAAAGAAGTCAAGCCCTTCTTCCCCAAGGTTTTGCAATATTCAGTTTCCTAAGGAGCTCTGGTAGCATAGTGGTTACGAATCGGGCTGCGAACCTTAAGGTCAGTAGTTCGAAACTACCAGCTGTTCCGCGGGAGAAAGATGAGGCTTTCTGCTCCCGTAAAGATTTAGCCTCGGAAACCCTGTACAGGGTCACCATGAGTAAGTTCCAACTCCACGGCACATAACCACCACCACCATGTGAGAATTAAGAGTCCCAGCATGAAGCTGTAGGCTACTGGGTCAGACAGACTGCAAAGTCTTCTGAACTGCAAGGTCGGTGGTTCAAGCTCACTATCTGTTCCTTGGAAACCCAATACATGGTTGCTATGGTTTGGAATCTACTTGATGGCACTTAACAACAACAGCAGTGTGAGAATTAGAATTGATGTTTACAGTGATTTTTATTACATTCTAAAAAGATTAACAGAGCTAATTCATTTTTTTAAAAATTCTTGTCTCTCACAGATATGAGGAAAGGGGAAATAACCCCAGTATCCCAAAAATTTCTAAAAAATCTTAGATCTCTTTAATTTTCATGTCTTTAGATATTGAAAGAAGATTATTTGAAGATTGTTTTTGGAGTCAAATAGCATGGATCCCAGCAGTGACTACCATTTCCTCAGTCAAATTTTATGGAGAAGGGTGAAACTCACATTGGTTTGTGGCATCTTCGAGGGGGTGCTCCAACATGTGGACCCTAACAAGATTGTTGTCCTGAAAAAAGGTCTCATTCCATTTCTCATAATCTTCTACCCACTTTTCTTGTAAAAAATTAATGACTGAGTTTGGGTGATGGCTTTGGGCTCCATGAACAACTGGGAGAAGGAGACATTATTCCTTCTTTAGGGAAGGAATGGTGTGCGGTGAAGGTTAGAGAGCTGCTTTCCCTAACACAACAACATGGCTGCATTTGCTTGTCCTCACTTCTATACTCTTATTGATATGATAATTTCAATCTAGAGAGATTGTTTTTCAGCTAAAATATTAACTTGTTAGGATAGTTCGTTGTTTTATTGGCATGGTAAATTTTAAGTTCACAATTGAAACATGTATAAAAGGCATTTGTGAAGTTAATGTTATTGTTAGTCCATACTGTGAGTCAAGTTGGCTTTTGTTCACTAGGATAGGCCTGTAACGGCCTTTTGCAACATAACTTCATATCCCAGGCAATCTGCTAGGTATTAGAGATATAAATAGGAATATCATGCCCCCCCATCCTTAAAAAACTTAGGATAGTAAGGAGACAGATAGACAGACAGACAAGTATGTGTAATACATTGTGGGACAGAGGGATGCGCATGATGGTATGGGAAATCCAAGCTTCAGCTAATTTAGATATAAGAGGAATGACATGTTTAAGTTTATCCTTAAAGTTAGTCCAGTAAGAAGATGCACAAGTATGTGTAATACATTGTAAGACAGAGGGATGCACAAGATGTTTGGGAAACCAAAACTTTAGCTAATTTGGATCTGGGAGTGCTTGGGCTGGGATAGTGAGTAAAGGGAGGAATTGATAAAACTGCATGGAGAAGGGGGAAATTGTAAGAGGCTAGTTTTAAGACTTTGGTTCTCCAACTTTTTTTCATGCATGTAAACTTACCTGGGAGACTTTGTTAAACACAGATTGTTAGGCCCTACATCTGGAGTTTCTGATTCTATAAGTCTGGGGTGGGACCCATCAATTTACATTTCTAACAGATTCCTAGGTGATGTTGATGTGCTGGGACCACAATTTGAAAATCATGTTTCAAGCAGAAAGAGTAGCATGTACAAAGCATGTACAAGTACAAAAATACATTGTTAGTTGCCACTGAGTTGATTTCAACTCATGGTAACTCCATGTGTACAGAGTAGGGGTGCTCCTTAGGTCTTCAGGCTGTGACCTTTGGAAGCTAATCTCCAGGCCTGTCTTCTGAGGGATTCAAACCTTTAGGTTAGTAGTCAAATGCTAACTACAGACATAGAGACATGAAAACATAATGCATTCAGAAAACTCTTAAGTAAATTTAATATGATGTGTTGACAAATTAGGATGGAGAAGTAGGAGATATTTGAAGGTTATTACATGTAGTATTTGGACTCTATTCTGAAAGTAATGAACAATTTGAAATCAAAAATAATTTTTAAGTGAGGTAATTTTCAAGTTAGTTTCCCTCATCACCAATTTAATACTGGGTCAATTAGGAACCATGTTCAGTATTGGAAACAGAAATTTGCTTGTAGTGGTTAGACAAATTAGGGGTTTATCCTCTCATATAAAAAATGGCAGGCAGCCCAGAGCTACTTTCCAGAATCAGCAAGGGCCCAGCATTAATTTTTCTATTCTACAGTTGAAAGTCACCTGGTAGCTGGTGAAGTTACAAACAGAAAGAAGAGGAAAGGAAGGGAACAAAAGGGTATTTCTCCCGGCTGAGTCAGTCCCCTTAAAAAGATGTACTGACAGTCCAGTCCACTGCTGTCTGCAAGGAAGATTGGGAACATTGCCAGCCTGAATAAATGGCATGGAGTAGGCAACAGTCAGTAAATGCCACATGATTGTTCCACAAAGCATTCAGTCCAGTTGAAGTATTTTGATGTGCTTTTCTCTAATCTTTAATTACATAGATTTTATATAGTGAACATAATAAGTCTGGTATATCATATGGCTTTTTTTTTTTTTATTTAATTGACACAGTAAGCATTTTCTCATGATAGTTAAAACTTCATTTTAATAGCTAAGCATTTTAAAGCAAAAAGCTTATGAGTTCTTTTTCTATTTGGAATTGTAATTCTTTTCTTAGGAGTAGTTCCCAGAAGTGAAATTACTGGGTGAAAGTTATGGATATCAGTGTTTCTGATACGTATTTCAAAATAGCTTTCCAAAAGAGTTGTGCCTTTTCACTTGGCTACTAGCAATTGTGCATACGCATTACAATGAGTAATTTAGCTTGAATTAAAGAAATGCTGATGTGTTTCTCTCCATTTTTGCTAGTTTTATAAACAAAAAGTTACCTCTTAAATTGATGTCTTATAAACATATTGGGAAAGAGATCAAACATTGTAACTTAATTTATTAATGTTGTATACTATATGGACAAAGCAGAGAGTGTCATCACTATGACCACAGTGGGAAGCAGAGGTAGGGAGGAGAGAGGAACTATTCACACAGTGAAAAGGAATGATGGGAGCATGAAATAAGGTTGTAGAAAGTAGTGGAGAAAACCAGTTCTAGAAATACATGGGAGATAGCACAAGCAACCTACTAATCAATTAGATATCAAAAAGCCATGCAAAATGACTCTTATATTTATGATTTAGAGGATTAGACAATACCATAGGGCCACTAATTGATTTAAATGCAAAGAGGGGCAGATTTGTTGATTGATAGAATATAATGATTTTAGTTTTGAAAATTTTACAGTAAGCCTGTCCAGTAATTAGTTGGAACTGTGCTCAGAGGAATAGTCTAAACTGCAGACATAATGGATGTTAGGACAAACAGGAAGTAGATGTGATCACTCAAGGAGAAGGAAAAAGGATGGAAGACATGTCTGGGGAAGTCGATATGTAAGGGGAGGGCAAAGGTGGTAGAGACTTGAAGGAGCAAATCAGGGAGGCATTGTAACAATGGGTATAAAAATGGGTATTAAAATCAGTAAAGCCTGATTTTGAATCCTAATTCTCTTTTTGCTAGCAGCCTGATCTTCAGCAAAGTTATTTAAACTTTCTGAGCCTTAGATTCCGCCATAAAGTGAGGAATAATGAAATGCCTGTTCATTAGGCTACTGGAAAATTAAATTAGACAAATAATTAGCACAATGCCTGCTACCTCAGAGTGGGTTTTCAATATGGTAGCTCTAGATGTTTTACAGAAAAAGAACTAAACACAAGGAATGTCCTATAAGCCAAATAAGAAAGGAAAGAACTTTCAACATCAAGTAGAAATCTGTAAAACTTTTTTCTAATTTGACAGACACAAATTTGTCAAATCTTTTGGATTCAGAATATTTTCAAAGGAATTGTGAGGGTGAAACTCAAATTATTTTGAATTTATGACAGGTAGTAAAATAGACAGCTGCTCTGCATACTCCCATGCAGAAAAGTGTCAGCATGTTAGATCCATGCCATCTAAGCTTCTCCTAATGCCCTCACCTACTCACAGGAGGGAGAGCCCTGTCTTTGAGGTAGGAGTTAGGTGGTTGTCCCTGATAATATTTTCAAGTATGTAACAAGACATGAAGCAGTGTAGGGACTTTAGAAGTGGTGAGATGCTTTGACTTTTTTTTCCTTCTGGAATTTGGTGGAGTACAAATAAATAGAAATACAATAAATAGATGGTCTTTAGCCCTAAGGGTCTTGGAATATTTTCAGGATAAGTATAAATTCAGTGTACCACTACTGCCCTTCCTTTTATGTTTCAAGACTTTAGTTTTAAATTTTATTACTTAGTCTTCATTTCCTGGGGGAAATAATTTAAGAGATTTTATGAAGCTCTGATTTGAATACTTTTGATAGGCATTATATTTTATTATAGTTTTAGGGAAATGCTAGTTTATACTAACCAAATGACTTATTTTCTAAAACAGTGAAGAATGTTGAGACTGGTCGAAGTGTCCCTGGAGTGAAGATGTTTTTTGGGCATGAGATTGTGAATGGTGAGAGTGTTGTGTTCCCTGACTGCTGATACTGGGATTTGCAGGAAACTTGTTACTGTGCCTCATTCCAATATTTAAAATAACCTGGGGTATTGTCTTGCCTTTATTATTGTATTTATAAACTCATAACAGTTGGTATTGACAATTGAGCCTCCTGTTTCTGTTTTGGTGGGTATTCTATGAACAGAATATCCTTGGAGCATTTTTATTACTTTGGTTTTACAATGTAAGAACTGTTAAAGACTTGTTACTTGAGAATTGGCCAGTAGACAGAGTTAGGAATCTAAGCAGGGAGGGACTGTTTGTGCTCAGCAAGTGAGTGTCATACTCCAGGTTCACAATTCATTTACAATTCTTTATCTGAAATGTTGGAGCAAATGTTTCGGGAACCCAGACTTGCTCTGGATTTTTGGAAGATGTACTGTTCGTATTACATAACATGTCCAGAGATCTGTACATGTACAGAGAAATGTATGGCTTCTCATACAACGTGAAATAAAATGTGTTACATGTTGAGCTGCTACCTGCAAGGTCAGCAGTTCAAATCCAACAGCCTCTCCATAGGACAACTATAAGACTTTCCGCTCCAGTAAAAATTTATAGCCTCGGAAATTCTGTATAGTGCTGCTATGAGGCAGAACTAACTCAACAGCACACAACCACCACTATTAACACCATAAATAGCATGTCCATTAGGTTTGCTACCAAAGGAGTTCACACTCCAATACCTCGCCAACTGCTGGGGCTCCTTAGGAGAGAGTAAAAGGGTGGTTAATTGCTTTCAGAATGGGGACATTGTTGGAAACCATTTGGTTACTTTACAGTGGAACTACTGGATGAAGTAGAACAAGGAGCAGTGAGAGAAAAAGCATCATCTGTTAGGTATGATGTAATACTTTCCTTAATTATAATGTTTCTCAAATGTACACATTAAGGTAGAAAGCCTTAACTCTAATCCATTAGCTGCATAATTCCTAATGTGGCTCAAGGAACTAGAAATGAGAGAAATAGATGCTTTCTTCCATCTTTAGATTGTATATTCAAGTCAATTTAAGTCATGATTGAATGAGTTCTCTATTTAAATGGGGGTCTAGTCCTTACCATTGATGTGTGGCAAAATCTGTGCATGGTATCAGCAACAAAGAACAAGTTCATCTGAGTGTTGTTTTCTGTAAGAATAGTCTAAATACAGAAAGAACCAAGATGGATACAATGAAAGATGAAGACCGAAATATATGTGAACCCGTTTCTTCTGCCCCTGAGGCATCAATCACCTCTCTGCTGAATGACTTTAAGTACAACCCTTCAGGTAAGAGTGGGACTTTGGATTTTCTAGTCTTTACAGTAGTTTAGAACTCTTCAAAGTTGGCATAACCTTGAATCAAGGTTCTATGTATAATTTTCATTTGGACTATTGCTTCAAGGTACTAAATTAAGGGAAAATATCATGATTCATTTGTTTATTCAGTATTTGAGTACCTACTGTGTGCCAAGCATTGGAGATGGAAGAAGTGATTTTGCAATTTTATGTCCAGGAGAGGCTTCACAGACATAGTGATATTTGAATAAAACCTGATGGAGGTGAGGGATCAAGCTGTATAGATATCTGGAGGTACTACTGTGTTTTAGGAATAAGAAATACAAAGATCCTGAGACTGGGAATATACCAGGATCTGGAAGAACCAGCAAGGAGCTCAGTGTAGCTATGAGAGGAGAAGTAGTAGGAAATGAGGTGGGGTGGGGAGATTCATGGAGGATTTTGTAGATTATTTAAGGATCTTGAGCTTTAACTCTGAGTGAGAAGAGTAAAAGGCCATTGTAAGGCTTTTTGTTTTTTGGTCTTTTTCATTTGACTTTTTCAGTCATTTTCATTGAACTCACCAGATCTAACAACAACAACCATATATCATTGTGATTTTAATTTGCATTTCCCTAATGACTAAGGAGTCCTGGTGTGGAGCTGTGGGCTAACACTCAGACTGCAAAGTCATTTGAACTGCAAGGTCCTGGGTGGTTCAAGCTCACCAGCTGCTCCTTGGAAACACCATACAGGGTCACTATGGGTCGGAATCAACTCGACAGCACTTAACAACAACAAATGACTAAGGATGTTAAGTGTGTCTTCAGCTGCTTATTTTCTATCTTAATATCTTTGGTGAAATATTTTTTCAAATTTTTTACCCATTTTTGAAAAATTTGCATTGTTTGTTTTCTTTTTGTTCAGTTTCAGGGGTTCTTTATATACTCTAGATACAAGTCCTTTGTCAAATATGTGCTTTGCTGATCTTTTTCTTCCAACCTGTGACTTGTCTTTTCATTCTCTTAAAGTATCTTTGGAAGGGAAACATTTAAAATTTTGATGAAGCCCAATGCATCTACTTTTTTTTTCCTTTATGGATTATGCTCTTAATATTATAGTTAAGAAATCTTTGCACACAAAGATTTTCTCCTATGTTTTCTTCTAGAAGATTCAGTTTTAGGTTTTCCTTTTAGGTCTGTCATCTATTTTCTGTTAATTTTTTTATATGATATGAGGTATGGCTCAAAGTTCACTTTTTATTTTTTTTAACTTATGGATATATCCAATTGTTTTAGTGCTATTTATGTAAAAGACTGTACTTTCTTCACTCAGTTGCCTGGCACTTCTGCTAAGAATCAATTGTCTATACGTATGTAAACTTATTTATAAACTCTGTATTATGTTTCATTGATCTACTTGTTTACCTTTTACATAAATACTGCTGTTTTTTTTACTGTTGCTTTATGATAAAATCTAGTCCATATATTAAAGCTAAAATTCTAGGCACTGGGTTTGCAGATGGCTATGTTTTACAATGAGAATCTACTTAATTTTGAGTCTTAACATAAATTCAGCCTCTCTTGTCTTCTTTCTGACCATTAGCCAGCAATATAAAAAGCTTTATCTGCAGGTAGTATGTTTGAAAGTAGATTACTTTGACTTCCCTAGTCAGCTCAGACAGTCTGCCTCTCAGGGACTTGATTGGGCTTACCCTTAATGGAAATTGGGATATGAGTCATGCTCTGACCAAGAGGGTTGGGGGAGTGGGGTGGGGGTGGGGCCCAGAACCAACCCTATAAGCTTTTCTAAGCTGCATTAGTGTTGTTGTTGTTGTTAAGTGCCGTCTAGTTGGTTCTGACCCGTAGCGACCCTGTACAGGGTTTCCGAGGCTGTAAATCTTTACGGGAGCAGAACGCCTCATCTTTCTCCTTCACAGCTAGTAGTTTCGAACTGTTGGCCTTAAGGTTCATAGCCCGATTCGTAACCACTATGCTACCAGAGCTCCTTAATCTGCATTAGTGTACGTATCCTAATTAAGATCCCTTTCCTGCTTCCATAGACCCACTTGTGACTGTGATACAATGATCTATCACCAATCATGATTTTATGACTAATTTCTTTCTTTCTTTCCTTTTTTAACATTTTGTTGTGAATTGATTGAAGGTTTACAGGCAAAATCATCAGTTTTATATTCAACAAAATAATATATTTGTTTCATTTCAATGATTTCAATTCCCTCCATAGAACAACAATTATCTCGCTTCCTCCCTGTGGCTCCTATTTCCCTTCCACCCACCTTCCCATCCCTTCATGTCATTGTCCTTAAGTATGTGTTGCCCCTTTGATTTTGAATGATTCATCATTCTATCATTCATAGTGAGCATATCTTACTAGTGTTGTTCCCCCTTTGTACCTATTTCCTGCTTGGCTGAAAGTTGTTCCCCCTGTATACCTATCTACTGCTAGGCTGAATGAAGTGGTTGAGGGCCACAGTCTCAGGTTCATCTAGTTTCTTTCTTACCAATAAACCCATTCTTCTTCTTCTTTTTTTTTTTTAATGATTTTGAATTTTGTTCTACATATTATGCTGCTCTATCCATGACCTTCTCATGTGATCCCATTTCAGAGCAGTTGGTAGTGAGTGGTAGCTGGGCCCCATCTAGTTCTTATGGTCTGAGTTGTGGAGACTCATGTTCACATGTTCCATTATTCTGTTGGACTAGTTGATTCCAAGCACCTTGTTCTCATCACTCTTCGTTCTTCCACACATGGAGAGACCAGTAACTGCACCTTAGATGGCCAAAACACCAAGCCATGTTTTTAGTAACCTCATATGCATGCGAAAGCTGGACAGTGAATAAGGAAGACCATAGAAGAATTGATGCCTTTGAGTTATGGTGGTGGAGGAGACTATTGAAAGTGCCATGGGCTGCCAAAAGAACCAATAGATCCGTTTTGGAAGAAGTGCAGCCAGAGTACTCCTTAGAGGCCAAGATGGCCAAACTTCGTCTCTCATACTTCGGACATATTGTCAGGAGGAAACAGTCGCTGGAGAAGGATATCATGTTTGGTAAAGTGGAGGGTCAGAGAAAAAGAGGAAGACCACCAACAAGATGGATTGGCCAAGTGGCAGCATCGATGGGCTCAAACTTGGCAACAGTAGTGAGGTTGGCCCAGGATCCAGCAGTGTTTTGCTATGCTGTGCATAAGGGCGCTATGAGTAGGTACTGACTGGATGGCACCTAACAAAAACAACAGATGGCCACTCATTTAATATCCCGGATGCCACTCAACAAATTAGGATGTAGAACATTGTCATGCTGATGGTCACCTTCATCCAGATAATTGGTCTTTGTCCTTTTGAAGACTTAATAAAGGGATGTCTGTAAATGTATTTAGGTTTGGGGCCTTTGTTTCTCTAGAACATTCTTCAACTTTTTCTTTTTCAAAGTTGTTTTGACTACTCTAGATCCTTTAATTTCCTTATGAATTTTAGGATTAGTTTGTCAAGTTCTACAGTAAAACCTGCTGGAATTTTGACTGGGATTGCACTGAATCTCTAGATGAATTTGGGGAATATTGGTATTTCTCCATTTACTTGTTGTTATTGTTAAGTGCCGTCGAATCGATTCTGACCCAATGACCCTGTATAGGGTTTCCGAGGAGCAGCTGGTGAGCTTGAAGCAGCGGTCAAGAGATCAGAGGACGTATTGCATTGGGCAAATCTGCTGCACAGGAACTTTTTAAAGTATTGAAGAGTAAAGATGTCAGCTTGAGGCCTAAGGTGCGCCTGACCCAAGCCATGGTATTTTAAATAACCTCATATGGATGCGAAAGCTGGACAGTGAATAAGGAAGACTGTAGATGAATTGATGCCTTTGAATTGTGGTGTTGGAGGAGAATACTAAAAGTCCCATGGACTGCCAAAAGAACCAATAGATCTGTTTTGGAAGAAGTGCATCCAGAGTGCTCCTTAGAGGCCAAGATGGCTAAACTTCGTTTCTCATATTTTGTACATATTGTCAGGAGAGAACAGTCACTGGAGAAGGATATCATGCTTGGTAAGATGGAGGGTCAGAGAAAAAGAGGAAGACCCCCAATGAGATGGATTGGCCAGGTGGCTGCACTGATGGACTCAAGTGTGGCAGTGGTAGTGTGGTTGGCCCAGGATCAGACATTGTTTCTTTCTGCTGTGCATGGGGTCACTATGAGTCGTTTCCAACTCGATGGACCTGACAACAACAACAACATTGAATAGGAGTGATGATAAAGGGCATCCTTGTCTGGTTCCTGTTCACAAGGGCAGTGAATTCATTTTATCACTATTGAAAGTGACTTTGGCTGTTGGTTTCGTATATATGCCCTGAATTATGCTGAGGGATTTCCCCTCTATTCCTATTTTATTAGGAATGGATGTTGAATTTTGTCCAGTGCCCTTTCTGCATCAATCAATAGGATCATGTGGTTCTTTTCCTTTGCTTATTTATATGGTAGGTTACGTTAATTGATTTTCTTATATTGTACCATCCTTGCATCCCTGATATGAATCCCACTTGGTCATGATGTATTATTTTTTTCATGTGTTGTTGGGTTCTATTTGCTAGATTTGGGGTTAAGAAACTTTACTTGTGTTCATGAGGTATATTGGTCTATAATTTTCTATTTTAGTGTTAGCTTTACCTGGTTTTGGTATGAGGGTTATGCTCACTTTATAAAATGTATTCAGGAGTTTTCTATGCTTTTCTATGTTCCAGTTAGCCTCCATTTTCACATAATGTCAATTTTTACATAATGACCTGGTCTTTGGAATCTAACTATGTCAGTAAGTGGGAAGTGAATGTAGTCCATATTCTAAGATTATCCAGTGGTTGGACTTTTGTTTATTCTCACTTGACAAACAGAATACTAGTAGTGATCAATGTGTGATGGACTGATGCAATTGTTAACATTAGACATTTGAATAGCAATAAGGTAAGAGTTAATGAATATGGCCAAAGTTTGTGGTAAGGCTATTGTATTGCTGAGGAAGACAAATATATCTAATTTTATCATTCTCTGGTAGAAGAAGAGGATGTAACATATACAGTGATTGATCAGTTCCAGCAGAAGTTTGGTGCTGCAGTAAGTATTTTCCTCAATCATCCCTAGTGTTGTCTTTTTGTATCATGCCTTATGTATTTCTTATTATAAAATCTTTGGTGTTTTCCCTATTAATTCAACTACAATCTACCTGCCTGCTATATGCCAAGCACTGTTTTAAGCTCTGGGGCAAAACAGTAATCAGGACAATGATTTACATTCTAATGCCAGATATAAACATACAACAATTAGCTGGTGGTGTTATGAAGAAAAATAAAGCATAGAATGGGAAACAGAGTGATGAGGAGGTCCTGTATTTTATAGGGTAGACAGAGCAAGCTTTTCTGACCCAGTGACATTGTAGCAGAGACCTGATGAAAGTAAGGGGCTAGCCATGTGGGTATCTAGGTAAAGAACTTCAAAAAGGTGAAACTAGTAAGATGGGAGCACATTTGGCTTGCGTGGTAGAACAGACAGGAGATCAATGGGGCAGGACCACAGTGAAGAAAAGTAGTAGGGGATGGAAAAGGGTGAGGTATTGTAGGGATTTTAATTTTGACTGGAGTGGTATAGGAAGCCATTAGTAGTTTTTAAGTAGTATAAAAAAATCATCTGACATTTTAAAAAGGACTATTCAGATGTTTTAAGGAGCTCTGGTCACATAGAGGTTATGACTAAGGCTGTTAACCTCAAGGTCAGCAGTTCAAAACTACTACTACTTTCTGCAGGAGAAAGGTGAAGCTTTCTGTTCCAGTAAAGATTTACAGCTTTGGAAATCCTATGTAGTGTCACTGTGAGCTGGAACCAACTCTACAACACACCATCATCACTGCTCAGATGTTTTATTTGGCCAATTTCTTGATAATTATTTATTAATTTTAGAAGGGACAGTTACTAATTATTCATCAGATGGTAGTGTTCACTAGGAGAATCATTGAGCTTTCTGTTTGGATGCCAGCTTATTCTTCAGTCTGCTCAAGTGAATTTTTCTAAGAAAAGGGGCCCTTAGTTTTCTAGATTCTTTTGAAGAGAAAAAAAAATACAGCTTTGTTGTTGCTGTTGCTAGGTACTACTGAGTTGATTCTGACTCAAAACAATCCAATATAAAACTGAATGAAACACCGTGTCATCCTCACAATTGGTGCTGTGTTGAGCCCATAGTTGCTGCCTCTGTGTCATTCTAGTTCATTGAAGAGCTTTCTCTTTTTCACTGATGTTGTTCTCCAGGGTCTGGCACCTCCTGATAACATGTCCAAACTACAGGAGACGAAATCTTGCCATCATTGATTCTAGGGAGCATCCAGGTTGTATTTTTTCTAAGTCAGTTTTGTTCATTATTTTGCCAGTCAGCTTTATTGTATCCAGCAAGCTCTACATGTGTGTTGTTGTTGTTAGGTGTCATCAAGTTGGTTCTGACTCATAGGGACCCTATGCACAACAGAATGAAACACTGCCTGATCCTATGCCACCCTCACAACTTTTGAGTTCAATGCTGCTGTCTAATAACATGTCTGGCGTATGAGAGAGGAAGCTCTTGCTTCCAAGGAGCATTCTGGTTGTACTTCTTGCAACACAGATTTGTTTGTTTTTCTGGCAGTTAATGATACTTTTAATATTCCTCTTAAACTTCTTAATTCAGTACATCGATTATTCTCCAGTCTTCCTTATTCATCATCCAACTTTTGCGTGCATATGAGGCAATTGAAAACACCATGGCTTGGGTCCTCAAACTGACATCTTTGCTCTTTAGAAATTTAAAGAGGTCTTTTGCAGAAGATTTGCTTAATGTAATACATCCTTTTGTTGATTTCTTGACAACTGCATCCATGAGCATTGATTGTGGATCCAAGCAAAATGAAGTCTTTGACAACTTCAATCTTTTTTTTTCTCCTTATTTGATGATGTTATTTATTGGTCCAGTTGTGAGAATTATTTTCTTTACATTGATGTGCAATCCATACTGAAGGTTGAAGTCTTTGGTTTTCATCAGCATTTCAAGTCCTCTTCTCTTCCAGCAAGCAAAGTTGTATCATCTGTATAATGCTGGTTTGTCGGGGACCGGCCTCTACAGGAAAGTTTGGTTCACGACGTAGGGAGATCTGGCAGTGAAAGAGATAGAAAAAGAATATACACAAAGACGCGACGACAGAGACAAAGAGACACCCCGAAACCAGAGTGGATGCAAGACTTGCAACCAGAGTGGATGCCAGACTTGCTGGCAGACCCTGGATTGCAGGCATCAGGGCCCCTGCAGGCAGTAATGCATGCAGAATTTGGTCTGCATCAGTCTTTTATTTCAGGGAGGGATTTTACACAAAGGAAGAAGGGGATTATTAAGACAGGGTACAGAAATGAAATGTGATTAATCATTCAAAACAGGACACAATGATTTACAGGAACAAATTCTAAAATATACATGTCAAATTGTCTTAATAATCTAACATCCTTAATTTTCCAGAAATTCAAGCAAATTGTTATAAGTTACTTTTTAGGTTCAAATCCTAAGGCAGAAACTCGAGGTTTCTCAAGGCTAATTAACATACCTTTAGCACTTAATCTCGAATGGGTAAAGGTGAAAAGAATTTCAAAAGGTCTGAAGAGAGTCAAGCTGTTTCAGCTACCTGGCTTAGGCTTGCAGGAGGAAGAAGGATGCCTAGGTTAATGGTTTGCACCTGGGGATGATTTGAGGAGGATGTCACTATTATTCATTGAACAATACTCCGGAATTTGCCAATCTACTTTGAATGAATTCCTTGGGAGGATAGTCTCCAGAGCCTCCCAGCAAACTTGCCTTTGGAACTTTACAGCCTTGGCTTTAGAAGAGGCTTTTGTTTTAATATTTGTCCATGGGTATCAAGGGCTCATGTATTAAGTTAATATCAAACATAACTGAGTAACTTGATATAGAACAGTTTAGCCATGCTTGCCAGGTGTCCAGTTTTGTTCCCAGGACCCTACGCACTGCCAACACAGTGAAGACATTAAAAGAGGCACATAAGAAACCATTTTCTCAGAAGCTACAATTACTGGAGTTAGAAGCATAGAATGAAGAATAAGACCAAAGAAAATTATGCAGAGATAGCCCAACAGTGAGTTCGTAAAAGCCTATGAACAAGGAGGTCACTTCCTTGGCCCTCAGGGTCCCTGGCTGGCAATCCTGAGCGGGGCCTTCGTGTTGGATTTTCATCCATGGCACAGGGCCTCAACATCTCAGTGCTTCGCGGTCCCCAACACTGGTTGGTAGAGTCTTCCTCCAACCCTGATGCCACATTTTCCTTCATATAATCTAGTTCTTTGGATTATTTGCTCAGCATACAGATTAAAGAAATTTTCTGGAATTAAATAAATGTGCTGATATTTCCTGGCACAACCCTGGCACATACTTTTCCTGATTTTAAACTATTCAGTATCCCCTTGCTCTATTCTAATGACTGCCTCCTGCTCTCTATATAGGTTGCTCATGAGCACTAGTGTTCTGGAATACCCATTCTTCAAAAAGTGATCCATAGTTTGTTATGATCCACACAGTTAAATGCCCTTGCATAGTCAATAAAGCACAAGTTAACATCTTTCTGATATTTTCTTCTTTTAGCCAAGATCCATCTGATGTCAGCAGTGATATCCTTGCTAATATTTAAAATACTGGTGGTATAACTTCCATCAACACAGCAACACACAAGCCACCATAGGACAGCAAACTGATAGATGAGTGGTGGCCCTTAGCCCTAGTCAACCACTGAACTACTTTCTACTTTTATAGAGTAGCTTATTCTGAAAGTTTCATATAAATGATATTATATAACAAGTGGCCTTTTTTGCCTGACTCCTTCTACTTAACAGTGTTTTCAGTGGTCATCCATGTTGTACCATGTATCAACACTTCCTTTTTTTTTAAATTACTGAACAATATTCCATTGTATGTATAGGCACTATATACTCATTTTTTCATCAGCTGACAGACATCTGAGTTATTTCCACTTTTTGCTTATTTTGAATAATGCTGATATGAGTATTCATATACCATTTTTGAGTGGACATATGTTAGTATTTCTTTTGATTATATTCCTAGGAGTGCAATTGCTGGGTTGTATGGTACCTCTAAGGAGCCTTGGTGTTGCTGTTAGATATGCACTGGACTGCTGTAGGTAAAATTATCTGTTCCATCAGCTGTTCCACTGGAAAAAGATGAACCTTTTTGCTCCCATAAAGATATGTAGCCTCGGAAACACTATACAGTGTGGTTATTATTCCAGTCTACTCCGTGGCACTGCTTTTGGTGGGATGGTACCTCTGTGAACTACCAGACTGTTTTCCAAATGAATGTACCTTTTTCCATTTCTACCAGAAGTGTGTGAGAATTACAGTTTCTCCACCAGTTTTATCTGTTATTTTGGTTATATCTATCCTAGTTGTTATGAAATGGTATCTCAGTGTAGTAGGGAAATTGATTTGCACGTCTCTGAATGGGCAATGATAGTGAGCATGCTTTCATGTGATTTTTGATTATTTCTATATCTTCTTCGGAAAAGTATCTATTTGAATCCTTCATAACATTTTAAATTGGTTTGTCTTTTTATTATTCATTTGAAATTGGTCTTTATATATCAGCAGATTTCTTAAAATGCTCTGGCAACAACAACATTTAAAAAAACTGGGTTAAGAATTTTGCTCTAGAAATTTGAAGTGGTAGTTGGACATTTTTATGAAATGTGAAATATAGCTTTTATACTAAATTCAGCAGCCTTTTTGTTGTTAATTGATGATAGAACTGATATTTAGTCCCTTTTCTCTTCACTGATGAGAAATTTTTAGAATGTATACTTTATCTCCTCTAAAGAAAGATAATGTGCCAGTGCAAGTTACAATAGCCTTTTCTTGTAAAATGGAGAATCTTGCATACTGTAGTGTTGTATTTTATAGATTATGAATTAAGTATTGAAGGAATAGGATAAGATTATAGATAATCAAGGTAAAGAGTTTGTTCTTAGTATAGCACTATTTAAATTTTAAGTAATTTAAATGAATCCAAGGTGTTAAGTAACTTGTTGAGTCCTTGTTTCTGCCATTCTGAATAATTGTTACTATGAAACTGAGCCAGTCGGTGCGCCCCATTCAAGTATGGGAAATTGTTGTATGTTGGGGAGCTGCTGTTTAGCATGAGAAATCTAGTCATAGACACTAGAATTATTTTTGTATAATATTAATGGTAAGTAACAAAAGGCATCTAAGTTTACAACTCTCCTTAGCATTTGGGGTTGAAGTGCCATGGAGTTGGTTTTGTGGGAGCAGAAAGCCTCATCATTTTTCCATAGAGTGGCTGGTAGGCTTCAACTGTGGACCTTGTATTTTGCAGTCTAATACTTATCCTATGAGTAGGAATGATTTATTTTTCAGTAGTGGCACACTTTTGCTAAAACTGAAAAGGGCATCAGAAATAGTGTTTTGTGTATATAGTGAAGCCAATTCATGTTTTGCATTAGGCAAGCTTTGTCAGATCAGAAAATACAATCCATTTTGATTGCTGGCCATTTTAATTTATGACCTTTATGATGTTATAATTCCTACATTAATCCTTTGGAGATTTATTCTTTTCTCATCAGATGCTCCATATCAAGAAGCAAAGTGTCCTAAGTGTGGCAGCAGAAGGAGCTAATGTGTGTCGTCATGGGAAACTCTGTTGGCTTCAGGTAAAAGATTTTTTAAACCTTTTGTTTTGAAATAATCATAGATTTACTTTTTTGAAAAAATGTTTTATTGTGAATTATGTAATAGTTTACATGGGAGAACATTAGCTTTATATTCATCCTATTGTATATCATTTCATTGTCATGGTTATAATCTTCTCCATGCATCATCAACCAACCAAAGGGTACACCCCGCAAGTCTGCCCCTCAGTCATCAGTACATAGCCCCTCTCCCTCTCTGGATCTAGAGTCCCCAGCCACTCCATCTCTCATGTTATCATCTTTGCCGCCATCTCTGGCATCACAGTTTCTCTGCATAGGATCCCGAACTCCACTCTTCTCCCATGATGGTCCCAGGGACCTCCACTCCTGGACTGCAAAGTCAACCACTCCCCTCCTTTTGTTACATCTGCCTTTACATTTCCAACCCTCACAGTCAGTCCAGATAGTAATTATTCACTATTGTGCCACATGAGTGCCATCCCTCCCATCTCCTTTCATCAGCCCTACCCAGACAGATTGAATACTACACAGTGGAGATTCTACCTTCCTCCGCACCCTCTGGATCTAGTCTCCCTCTTGAAAGCTTGTAAGCCAGTCACTTCTTGTCTTTGTAGCCCCCATTTTGGGTAGCCAATGTCCAAGTTCCCCTCCCTATCTACCCTGTATATTGAGGAGGTGGGAATGATCCTCCCTGTAAAGATTTATTCCCTCTTTTGAGCTACTGCATCCATAGGTGTCAGTCAAGTTCATCAAATTGTATCAAATTACTCTTTTTTTCCTCTTTTTTTCCTCTTTTTTCTTCTAGTTCAGTTCTGATCATCCAGTCATTGAAGCCAGGTCAAGTGGGTATTAACTGCAAGTGTGGGTGTTTTTATGCATATGCCGTCTCTTCTTATCAGGTGGATGCTTCCCTCTCCACTCTAGTCCTCTGTGACTATGTCACTGACTCTGGGTCCAGGAGTCTCTAGGTCTTGTCACACTGTTGGCCAACTAGGTCTCTACCTGGGTTCACTGGAGTCTATTGAACAATGTAGGACTTAGCTCGCAGCTTCCTTGTTGTTTTTCCCTCACTTCCCCTTATCAGTGACAAATGTGGTTACCAGTCAGAGTGCATGTCTGCTTGTGGATTTCCCATGAGTCTTAGTCTTGCAAGGGGGTTGGCCCTGAGGGGCCCCGACCACTTACTTTGATGTCTCATGGGTGAGCAACTTGCTTTTTTTTTGTAGTAGTCAGTCGGACTACCATTATTGTTTTTTATTTTTCCTGTCAGTCTTTCTTTCAAGAAGTATCTTCTGCTCTTCTAGCCATTCCAGGCTGGTCTGCTCGTCCTTTCAAGAGGAAATTTCCCACCTCAGAAGATTCTGAATGCGGTTCAGGATTCCACCTATGGTCTTTTGCAATGCAGAGGCTCCGCAGGAAGTTGTAGCCCCATTTTAGGTATTCCAATCAGTTACAGGCAGAAGACAGACTTATAAGCTTTCAATGGTGACATTTCTGGCTATTCCTTTCTCTCTCCCTCAAGTGTCTATTTTATAATGGTCATAGATTTACTTTTAGAATGTATTATGGTTAAATAAGGAGCCTTGGTAGTATAGCAGATTACAAGCTCGGCTGCTAAATACAAGGTCAGCAGTTCAAATCTACCAATTGCTCCTTGGAAGAAAGATGAGGCTTTCTCCTACAGTAAAGATTTACAGCCTTGGAATCCCTATACAGCATCATCATGAATCAGAAGCAACTTGGTGGCACACAACCACCACCATAATTATGATAAAATAGGTTGTTGTTAAGTTGTTAAGTGCCATTGAGTTGCTTCTGACTCATAGCAACCCTACTTAGGGTTTCTGAAGAGTGGTGGTGAGTTTGAACCACCAATCTAGCAGTTCAAACTGACCTTGCAGTCCAGTGCATTATCCTGCAGTGCCACACACCACCACTCGATTAAAATAGGTATGCATCAAAACCATTTTGCCATTTTAACCATTTTTAACTATATTGTTCAGTGACATTAACCACATTCTCTATGTTGTAAAACCAACACCACTATCCATTTCCAGAAGTTTTTCATCACTCCAAGTAGTAACTCCATATGGAAACCTCCCATTCTTCCTTTCCCACAGGCCCTGGTAATTAGTAATAAATTTTTGTCTCTATGCATTTCTATTCAAGATATTTTATCTAAGTGGAATCAGACAATATTTGTCTTTTTACATCTGACTTATTTTACTCAGCATAATGTTTCCTAAGAATCATTCATGTTGTAGCATGTATTAGAAGCTCATTTCTTTTTAAGGCTGAATGATAGTCCATAACATTTTGTTTTCCTTTTCATCTGCTGATGGACACTTAGGTTATACCCGACTTTTGGCAATTGTGAATAATGATGCAGTAAGCATTTATGCACAAATTTCTGTTTGGCTCCTTGCTTTCAAGTTGATGAATGAGTGAGTGAGTGAGTGAGTATGTGAGTGAGTCAGTGAGTGAGTAAATAAACAAATGAATTAAAAAACAACAACAACATACAAACACAGTTTCTTCCATAGAGTGAAATTCTGGCACCAGCTGTTAAGAAACCATTTGTGACTTGGTACATGTAGAATGCACTTAAAGGAAATGGGCTTTTCTTTAAGTTTAAATTATTTGACTATTTAATCCCCATCTCTGGTTAAATATTTTTACATACAATAAGATGAAGACAGTAAATGTTTTTTAAGAGTTTTAAAACTTTTTATTTCTTTTGACCTATTTCTCAGGTCTACTTTTACAAATGTAAGTAATTTAAAATATGGAGAAAAGTATGTGAGAACCTATTTATTCATTATGGCATTATGTTTTTCTTAAGTGCCATCAAGTCGTTTCTGACCCATAGCAACCCTGAACAGGGTTTCCAAGGCTGTAAATCTTTACGGGAGCAGAAAGTCTCATCTTTTTCCCATGGACCAGCTGGTAGTTTCAAACTGCTGACCTTGCAGTTCACAGCCCAATTCATAACCACTACGCTACCAGAGCTCCTTATATAGTGGTACAAATCAGATAGTAAGCAGAAACCACTCAAATAGTTAATAATAGAAGATGTTATACAGTACATTTGATAAATCTGGTAGGTTAGTGGTTACGAATCGGGCTGCTAACCTCAAGGTTGGCAGTTCAAAACTACCAGCTGTTCCTCGGGAGAAAGATGAGGCTTTCTGCTCCCGTAAAGATTTGCAGCCTTGAAAACCCTGTACAGGGACAATATGAGTCGGAACCGACTCCACACTACTTAACAACAACAACAACAAGGCAGCTGCCAAATATTGATGACAGAGCAATGTAGAAAAATGTTTGAAAGTGTATGAGTAAAAAGCAGGATATAGAATTAGAGCCATTTACATTTTCTTCATTTGGCATTATAAAAGGTAGAGTTGAATGGCTTGTCTTCCTTTACTGAGGAAATGGGTTAACAGGTGTCCATTTGCTATGCTCTGTTGTATTTGTTGCGTATGTAGTGGTGAATCTGACTATCACACCACATGGCATTTATAGTGTAGCAGAGAATTATTTTCCAAACTTTTTGATATGTCTATTTAATTTTTGGAGCCCCAGTGTGGTGCCATAAGATATGTACTGGACTGTAAACCACAAGGTTGTAGGTTCAAACCCACCAGCCACTCCTTGGAAACCCTATATAGAATTGCTAAGAGTAAGGACTAACTTGATGGCAGATAACAATAACAATGATTTAACTTTTAAGGAGCCCTGGATAAGCACTGGACTGCTAACAGCAAGGATGGCAGTTCAAACACTGCTACTCTTGTGGACAAAATACAAGACTTTCTGCTGCCATAAATAATTACAGCCTCAGAAACCATACACAGGGTCACTATGAATCAGAACTGAATCAATGGCAGTGGGATTTTATTTTTATAATTAAAGAGGTATGGAAAAAAGTAGGGATTGACTATTTTTATTTTAAGTGTAACATTCTAGCAAAAAACATGAGAGTTCTGAGAATGGGTATGAGTTAGGCCTGACAATTGTAAGTGTACAAACAGTTCAGCTCCTAAAACAACAAAGATGACATCAGGCTACCTTAGAATTTTATACTTGTATTCAGTCTGTCAATAAATCTGTGTTGAATGTTAGACATTCTACCATTTTTTAAACTGTTAGAGGTCTGGGATCTTGAGTTTGAGTAAGTTTACTTAATACTGAATGTTGCTGTTGTTATGTGCCGTGGAGTCGGTTCCAACTCATAGCGACCCTGTACGGGGTTTCCGAGGCTGTAAATCTTTACAGGAGCTGACCTTGGACTAGTCTGTGCTTATCCTACAGTGCCATGCCAGGACCTCTACGAATACTATGTTGTTGTCAAGTGTTGTTGAGTCAGTTCTGACTCATAGCAAACCTGTATAGTGTCTGGTGAATTTGAAGATAAAGAAGTTTGATACAGGAAGCAAGTGTAAATTGCTACAATTTAATGATCTTGACCTGTAGTAGCTCAAAATACCAACTGAGAGGGCAAGAGTCGTCACATCAAGGATCAAGCCTGTCCCCTCAGTTCACAGTGTTGATAGGGATGGGCAACTTAGACATTGTTATTGTTGTTGTTAGGTGCAACTGATTCAGTACTGACCCATAGCGACCTTATGCACAGCAGAACGAAACAGTGCCCGATCCTGGGCCAACTTCACTATTGTTGCTACACTTGAGTCCATCAATGCTGCCACTTGGCCAATCCCTCTCGTTGGGGGTCTTCCTCTTTTTCTCTGATCCTCCACCTTACGAAACATGATATCTATCTCCAGCGACTGGTCCCTCCTGACAATATGTCCAAAGTATGGCCATCTTGACCTCCAAGTAGCACTCTGGCTGTACTTCTTCCAACGCAGATCTGTTGGTTCTTTTGGCAGTCCATGGCACTTTCAATATTCTCCTCCAACACTGTAACCCAAAAGCATCAATTCTTCTTGGCTACCTAAAATGGGGAGTGGGGGAGGGCTATGAAAACACTAAGAGGC